TGTGTGATCTCTGTGTGTGTTGTCTCGGTATGTGTTGTCTCGGTGTGTGTGATTCTCGGTGTGTGTGATCTCTGTGTGTGTGATCTCTGTGTTGTGATCTCTGTGTGTGTGGTCTCTGTGTGTGATCTCTGTGTATGTGGAACGCGTAGCAGGAGGCGCGGAAGAAGTGAAGCGGAAGAAGCGGGATGAGACATAGAAAAGAAGAACCCCACACTAAGATGTGGGGAAAAAACAACCGACAGCCTACACAGTTGCCTACACAGTTGCCTACACAGCCCAGCGACAGGCGGCTGGAAAAACACGGGTGTTGCGGTCAAGTCGTCTGCGTTCCGCGTCGCCCATGCGACTCGATGGCCTCGACCCTAAACCGCCACCCGCTCACCCTCTGAGCTCAGAGGCAGCTACCAGGCGGATCAGAAGCCTCATCCGGTGGGTCCAAATCGAAAAAAAGTGGGGTTGTCGACTTGTCAATGGGCTCAATGGGTGGATCCCCGTCGGTCGAAAAGGGCCAGTTAGACCGGGCGTTCGTTTCGAAAAGACTGTGCAAAAGAAGTTCAAAGTTCCATCTTGGGGAGCTGTAGTGGCTCTTTTGAAATTGAATGTTTTCTCCAAGACTGTGGATGGTTACTTAAAAACACAGGTCACCTTTGATGGCTGCGGGTTTGGGTCATAATCTCATATGCCTAGGTCTCCAACTACCTCCGCTTAGAAGATGGGTAGGGTGCGTCAAGGAGGTCTAAGCACCGAACCTGAGCGGCCAGAAGCCCATCGGGGATGTTTGAATCGCATTCGAACCGCCCAAAGTCCACCTGAAAGTCGAAGTCTATGGCCTTGTTACTAGCAGCGTCGACGTATGTAGTAGCTTCTTGTTACTAGTAGCGATGCCCGTCCTTGCTAGTACGAGTAATTAGTAGCGTTCTTGCTACTGGTATACCATGCCCTTGTGACTGTAGCGAACTCTTGTTTTCATCCGATTCCTTCCTTCCCATCGATGCAGTCGACGACGGACGACTCTTCCTTACCCCATCCGGTCACGGGCCGAAGCGACCGGAGTAAGTTCAGCGCCCGCCCCCGAACCGACCGACACGTCGGGGATAGACAACACCTCCGCTCGTGAGACCGGAACCAACCGACTCTTCGGATGAGGTGTCTCTTAGTTCACAACGCTGCGAGGATTCTGCCCAAGCCATTCTGCCCATTCTGACCATTCAAGAAGTTGCAAAAAAGAACGTCAGGAAAAGCAACATCATGTTGGGTGAAAGCATCATCCCAAGTGAAATCTACCAACAGCTCTCGTATTTTCTTCCAACCCATCGGTCACCAGAGCCTTAGGGCCGTCAACTTCGAGCCTCGCGCTCTCCTAGCCCCAAACCTGTGGCTCACATAACTTATATATAATACCCGTCGATCCTTGCTGTCGAGTCCCGACACGTTGGGGGCTCCAAAGCTAACAAATCCATGCACGCGAAACCCCACGCTGGCCACCGGTCCATGCCAAACGGTCCACCAACTGGTTGAAACCCCACGGCGCGGACGATGCGTTTTGCTTTGTTTGTATCGAGACACTGGTAGACCTCATCCAAATACATGATGCGAAGCATTTGTCGTTGGCGGCGGTCAAGCTTCCACTGATGGCCTTAGTGATGCCCTAGCTACTAGTCGCTTCTTGTTACAAGTAGAAAGGCCCTATTGTAACTAGTAGCTGCTTGTTACTAGTAGTAATGCCCAGAGCTACTAGTAGCTTTGCAGCAAGCTTCCACTGGTGGCCTCAAAAACCAACGTCTAGACTTGGATTGAGTATTGATTTGTTTTTCTCGTGTGAGAAAATATCATTACTCAATTCATCCTCGCGCCACCGATGTCTGTGCTGCACCCGATGTCGCTTCGACATCGGTCGGCGGGAGACATCCAGGTGTTCCAAATCCGCATAATCGACGTTCAAACAAAGAACAGGATCATTCGAACCAAAGGAATCAGTTGGTAAACGATGTAAAGCATTGATCTGGATTGGACATCGACCCCGATTGAAGTATCAGTCCCACAATCAAGATCCAACTCACTCTGGACAAAGTCCTTCACCATCTGTAAGGGATCTTGCTTCTATTCTGTCTGCCAATACCTCTATAGGGAAACTTCCTCTGGTCACCACCACTATCAAATCCGTAGAAATTGCTCCGTAGCAGCTGCCGCAAGGTGCCTCTCCCTCTCCCCCTCTTTCTGCTCTTCTTTCTCAATCTATTTGCCTATCGAGAAATGCACAAACATGTCTTCCATCTCCTCTTGAACACGAGGAAGTTCGCCAACCGCTCCACCTCTGCACCGATTCCTCGGGGCCCCAGCCACACGCACAAAACTCCGCGTGCACGCATCCACAGGTCCGTCGAGTTCCAGCTACTTCAAAGCCGCAGTGGTGGCTCAACACTGGCTGCGCATGCCGCCCGCGCGGCCGTTGGATCGACCAAGGAAGGAGGGCTTTTAGAGGCTGGCGGATGGGATGGGGGTATGAAGCATGAAGCTCCCCATGAGTGCAAAGCCGAACATCAATGAACCCTAGCCGGGACCTCACTTCCTCAAAGCAACCTGGATGACTGGCAGGGGCCATGACTGGGGCAGGGACTGGGTGAGACACCCGGTCTGCGCGGGTCTCGGCATGAGTCTATATAGAGATCATCTCCAGTCATCTTCTATATGGATAGAAGCAAAGTCCATCGGATGACAAAAGATCCACATAAAGACCCACATTCAGCAAGGTTGGGACCTCAGTTTGTTCAATGTTCAAATTAACAAACTGGATGTGTATCGTGTCTATGTGGAACACACAATCCAATGTGTGACCAAGTGTTCCATCGACGAAGTGTGGCAATAACCATCCCAGTCAAACATCGCACCGGCCAAACATCATCCACACCTATATCGGTTTCGCTGGTCCTCACTGGAAAGTACTGAGTTAATGGAAACTGTGTAAGAATGTGCACACTTTCTGAGGCTCAACACATTCAAAGTGACCATTCCTCCTTCGTTCGTCAGTCAAGCTACGATCTTGCAAAGCTTCTTTCGTCCGGAACACCTTCATTTAGACTGTTCTAAGTTGGTCCCTTCGTGTAACCCCCCACATCTGTCCCCTTCCACCGAACTCCATGTTGATCCGTCGCCCACCTTCCACGGCTTTCTGTTGGCGTGCTTCCCTTGCATTCACATCGACAGCGGACTCCAATACCGGACCTCGAGATAGAAGCAACTTCAAAAGACTGAATTCTTCCACTCAGTGATCATGCACTGGCTGCACTGGTTTCGTTTGTTGCTTCAGTCTTTTGGACGAATCCTGGCATAAAAGGGCAGGATTAAAAAGAAAAGGATTGTTCCAAGGAGTATTGTCATGGTGGACATCCCGAAGAAACCAAACCGAGGGGGCAAATGATTCTGGAGTAGTTTCAGCTCTGGTATAGCCTCCAAAGCACAATGCTCCATTCTCAACTCGCATTCTCGACCCAAAAGCCTGGTTGGCAGCCGAAAGCCCAAGTGTCCCACCAATCAAAAGGGACCTCGTTAGGACCTCGTTCCAAAAATTGTACAGGTCCCCTGTATTATTCCACTGTGTTTCAAAACAGCAACCACTGTGGAGCCAGGATCAGCCACTGTGCTTTCAGGACCCGTCCTCCCTCCGGTCGCCAAAACGCCGCGGCACGGCTCAGTGGGGGCGAAGATTTACTGCGCTGCACTCGGTGCTCCTCCGGAACTGGCCACTCCACGGTCAAGAAGGTGCGCCTGAACTGGACACTCCGAGAGTCGGAGCTGATGACGATTCCGAAGAGATCGACCATGTGATCACATGACCTGCAAAGCTGGAGTGTTTGTGGTCGAAAAAATGGCGACTCTGAGGTGTGTCTTTTCTGTGACAAGCCACCACGTGTACGAAAGCTCTCTCCACCAAGTTTCAGGACAAAATGTCCACATATCGTTCTTGTTAATAGTAAGAATGCTCCTATAGTAGCTTCTTGTTACTAGTAGTAGGGCCAGGAGACCCTAGTGGCTTCTTGTTCCTAGTAGCGATGCCCTTTGCCCCTATGCCCTTCCGTTTTTCCTGCACCGAAAGATGCTGCGCCTGTACTCAAGCTGCAGGCGTGACGACATGCTTGAAATTAAATACTGTTGAGCACACCGTGGAGCGCTGCCTTTGCAGCAGGAGCCCACGTCACGTCGGTTTGCTTCAACGGCTGCAGACAGGCGGTCAGCTACCGCGACACGTAAAAACACACACTCCGGGGTCGAAGATTGACCGCACCAAGTGGAGTGAATGCATTGGCGAACGACTTAGATACTGTGGTGTATCCTATTACCAGTAACAGTGGATGATGATGGTTAGGTTGCAGGCCTTGCTCAAAAATCGCAGTATATAGTAATTGTTTAATAACTTACAGGTTTACTGGGACAGACCCAATAGATACTTGGTCCTCAACTTGGGAGCTGTGAAGAACCCGGGAATCATGATGGTGTGTCATGCTTCTTGCTTCTGCAAACAAGTGGAATATAGTGGAACATAGTGGAACATAGTGGAACAGTGTGCAAGCGGTAGACATCAAAGCATCCGGCAAGTCTGATGTTTGCGCCAGAATCCAAGACGAAGAAGAACATAGACAAATTAGTGGTACGCTATTGTTTGTTAAACATTATCCTGGTATTTTTTCTTTAGATGACTTGGAACTTCGCTCATGAGTCCTGGTAACCTCGTGACACTTAGATCTTAGATGCCGAGCTTGTCGGCGGACGACAGCGTGCGGCGATTGGTCGGGCCAGAAGCCAAACGTTTGGAGTCTTAGATATGAATCAAGAAGGCATGAGGACACAGAGATTTGAGTCTAAGAGGTTTAGGTGATACATATCAATCCACTCCTGTCATGATATGTATCAACCGCTTCGGAAGTCCCTTCGAAATGGTCGTCAGCTGACGTTTGGCTTGACGGTCTGAACACCAACATCTGCCAAGATGCCAAGAAAGCTCATGGCGGGCAGACGAAGTGACATAGACGAAGGATCTTTGGAGAAACGTTGATTCTATCTTGCAGACTTATGAATCTATGAACCACCCCCCATTGACGTCGATTCCTTGGAAGCAAAACAGCTCTTGAGAAAGGCACTCCAATCTCTCAACCAGGAGAAGCCCAGATCCTTTGCTTTAACTCTGAGACAGCTCAATCGTTGAGAGTGGGTGTTGGAAACAAACGTGAATCAATCTGAATGCGGCCACTTCATGATCACTACCATGATCTGTATTTGACACCCCTTGTCTGTTGACTTCCTTGGAGCATGCTGCAGCATGGATGTGTTGCTGATCACAAGAAGTTGATGGAAAGAACATGAACATGTCATTCGAGCTGCTCCCAAAACCTGCTCCCAACGGTGCTTTGTCGTCGTTTCCATCTTCCGAAACCGTCTATGATTGGCAAACAAGACAGTGCTTTTACGATTCATTGTTGTGATTACAAACACCTACAGTCCATCTCAAATACTTGTTACCTTCTTTTGAAGCTGCTTCCCTTTACAGTGGTTTAGCTTCATCTTTCAGATTCAGCCTAAAAAGACCACCGTGTTGGCATGTATGACTGGCGCTTTCACAACAAGCCTCCCCAAGTCTGAGCAATCCCTTAATTTGAGTTGCATGTTGCATGTCCATCCTACCCTACACACTACAGAACAACCTCCGCATCAAGACTTCAAGCTCGACGGTGCCCGCAATAACGCCAAACAATGCCAGCAAAGAGGAGTGAAACGCCTAGCCACAGTAGAATGGCTGCAAGTCCTCCGAAATAGGCTCCCAATGCTCCAGCGGCGCCAAGCATGGATAGCATACACCCGAGAAGAACTATTCCCAAGGTCTGAAACCCAGATGCACATGACGATCTGGGTGTGGCCCACGACTCGCAAAGGAAGATCATCAGCAATAGGACAGCGGGGAGCCAACAAAGAGCAAAACAAAAGATATAGCTCAGACTGTAGCGCAAGATCGCTTCCCATGACTTGTTGACCTTGATGAAGGCTAGCACACCTTCAAAACAGGTGGTCACCGCTGGCGTGGCCAGTATGCACATGTATCCAAATGGAAGGCTCCCAGGAGCCTTCATGGGTTCCAAGACATCTTGCCGCAAGGGTCCTCGCACGTACTCCGAAAAGGCCTCCAAGCTACCATACCACTTCACGATCGCGGCATGGATGCTGGTGCGGTCCGACTCATTCAAGCATTCGACTTGATGAACATCAAATTCCTCCATTCCAGTAATCAAACTCCTCTTGGAGACGTAGCTCAAGCGCAAGGCGTGAATTAGTGCACATCCTCCTGACACCAGCAGCAGCATGGTGATGAGAAACCACGCAGTGTTCAGCCTCAGAGTTCGGGAGATCCACCAGGCGAAGTTCAACCTGAGTGACGGTGGATCTTGGTGCGTCCTCAACGAGGAGTCATTCTGAGTCCAAAAATCACAAGATATCCCAGGAAAAAGGTTGAAGAATGTTGAAGAAGCTTGAAAACCAAATTTTTTAAACAAAAATGAATATATCATGTCACGTCACGTGTAGAGCCACATGAAGATCTGCAGGGTGGATGCCTCCACGAAGACGGGCGCAAAGGAGATCTTTCCACCGGGCTTCATTTTGCGATAGGCTGCGAGCTCGAAGATGCACCACAACCTTTAGAGGATCGAACATGTAGATGCAGATGGAAGAAGAGTGGAGCGACACGGGAGTGTGACACGGAGCATGAGTGACACTGGGGATATATATACATATATATGCATAAATAGAATAGTTATTAGCTATATATATGTGTATATATTATAACCCACTCTAAAAAAAACATCTTTGTTTGACACAGAAAATCCGGAAGGCATGAGCCATTGAAATGGAAAGTGAAAAGAAACAGCAAACAAAAAGAAACAAAGCCTCCGGGGCAACCCTTCGGATCAGAAAAATTACTCTATTTCGAGTGATCCCCACCATGACACTTCAAAACAACCACGTTGACATCAACCTTGTTGTGCATTTCGCAACCCAGGTGCTTGTCAGTCCAACATCTCAACTACACTAAACTCTAAACAGTTTCCCTGTCCTGTCCCATAACCCAACCAAACTAGCACAACCACTCCAGAATAGACTTGTCTTTTTACCGCAAGCCACACATCTGCAGAGACACGTTTATGGTTGTGTGTTCGTGGTTATGTCTTGTTGTGTGTGTGTTGTGGTTATGTTTGTGATTGTGCTTGTAGTTGTGTGTTTGTGATTGTGTGTTTGTGGTTGTGTGTTTGTGGTTGTGTGTTTCTAGTTGTGTTTGTGGTTGTGTTTGTGGCTATGTCGCTATGTGTTTGTGGTTGTGTGCTTGTGGCTGTGTGTTTGTGGTTGTGTGTTTCTGGTTGTGTGTTTGTGATTGTGTGTTTCTGGTTGTGTTTGTGGTTCTGTGTTTGTGGTTGTGTATTTGTTGTTCTGTTTGTGGCTGTGTGTTTGTGATTGCGTGTTTGTGATTGTGTGTTTCTAGTTGTGTTTGTGGTTGTGTGTTTGTGGTGTGTGTTTGTGGTTGTGTTTGTGGTTATGTGTTTGTGGTTGTGTGCTTGTAGTTGTGTGTAGGGATGTCCACAGACACCTCTGAGGACGTTCTAGGTTAGTAAGGGCGCCTCTTAATGAGCGCCCTTGCATCAATAGCCAAACTACATAGAAAGAAGGCTGCAATATAAATAACAACATCTAGAAAGACAACTGTGACATCAATAACAACATAATCATCAACAAAAAAATGTGAACAGGTGTTTTTTTAGGATACAAAACATGTTGGAAGGATGCAAAATCAAGGATTATGGATAAAGAAACATGTTTCACTGGCAAGTATTTGTAGTTCGGTATTTACATTTTGCATATTCAAAAACACAATAATGGCACATACAAAACATAGTTTGACATCACTAAAAAAAAACATGAACCTCCCAAAATACAAGATGCGAACACACCAAGTTGTGTTTCGACATACCCTTGAGATCAACAAGAGTCCTTTTTCGCAACGATCAATCACTGGAAATCGTGCACTCGAGTCTTGTTTTCTGGCTGAATGTTTTTTCTTGGGCAGCTCTTTTGTCAGTCAGCGTTTTTGTGCGTTGCAGTGTTGCTAAGCCAAGAAAAACATCCAGTAACATCCAATGAATCTGGCTAAAGTTTTGCCACTCTTGTGTGAAGCAGCAACGAGTGGTACTTGTAAGGCAAACCTGCCTGTTCCAAAAGGCGCGAGGATGGCTCAGATGATGCTTTATGGCAAGGAAACGGCCATGGTCGTAACAACCACCAAACAAAGAGGTTGGACACGTTGGACAAGTTCATTCAGGATAAGTTGCATGGTTCTTTTGCAAGTTTTTGCAATAATTTCAACAAGTTGTGTCAAGTCGGGTACAAGGTATGAGAGTATGTGGACAGCGACCACTGGCTGACAGACTGACCAGCACTCTTAATGGCAACCATAAACAACCTTGGTGAACAAAACTTACCACGACCACGACCACGACCATGTTATTTAAGCTTTTCATGTTTCATTGTCATGCGACCCATGACCAGGCACAGTCAGGTGCATAACTTTTGAATGTTCTAATGAACGAAACATTAAACAAACCAAAACATGATGTACAATTGGGTCATTGGTGACTCGAGCCGTCATGGCGGATGTGTGCCACATCCTTCGCCTGTCCTCGAGGGCAAAACTCTGCCAGAAAGGCGCTGATTTTGATCTCGTTCTTTCAGAACAAGAGCAACTTGGTTTGCACATTTGCGCAGCAAAGAGTCACAGCAAAATGCAGCAAATAGTGTGACGCTAAAAGCCGAAAGGCTACAAGTAAAAGGGTTGATAAGATTGTCACACTATGTTGAAACTGATGTCTTGCACCACACACCACGCACTGGCTGTGACAAATGATCACCTCCGCAAAAGCTATACAAGCACATGTAAGATTGAGCATGCTTGGCAGTTACAGCAACATGCCCAGCTCATGTGTGTTTTCTTGATGTTGTTATGTTTAGTTTTTTTTCAATGCCGTCGGCCCGTCGGCTGCCAACTGCCAACTCAACACCAGCGGTGAATCACGTCCTGTTTCTGCGTGATCATGTTGCACATCGTGAACTTGAAACCATGAGACCATGACCATGGACCATGGACTGGTTGCCAGTTGCTGGTTGTTGATGTCACAGATTTG